AACTCCTTAAGGTTCTTTGGTTCTTGACTTGAAAAAATATCACGTTGCATTAGACTGTTCATTCATGATTTTTTAATGTTACACAAAACTTTAATTAGTGATCGGCAAGTGATCTGACATGACCACTAACTGATAACGATTTACACTTACTATCACGATTCATTTTCACATAATTCTATTCCTCCTCAGATACAAGAAATTTATTGCTTAATTTTTTCTGCGTTATCGCCAGTACGATACTGTGTAAAGTTTTAAGAATTCAGCACGTAAAGATGCTTATATAAGATAAATTTTTTGATGCACTACGCCAGACTTTTGCTATGCTGTTGTATGTGATGAAATTCATGTGAGTAATTTTATTGCGTCTATTGTACGTGTGATGATGGTCAGTAATTTTCTTAGCGAAGATCAAAATGCCGATATATAATAAGAAAAGTAATATATCATTTTATTTTGGGAACATCTATAGAGGCAGGAAAATCAGTTAAGATCACGTTGACATGTTTCAAGAAGCTAACCGAATAATAAGCCAAATTACCTTGTTATTATTTTGTGAAATATACTCATTTATTTGATATTAACAATGTAAATATTAGTAAGTTTAATTATATTTTATTAGTTCACTTGATTTTTACTTATATTTGCGCAAGGCAGATAAAAGGGTTCACTAACTGTCTTGTCTTCTTTTTATATGATTTGTAGCAGACCAAGAATCGAATTTGGAATGAATCTTCAGGGAATTATGATGAAATCAGATCAACAGATTCGCTCAAAGACACAATAAAAAGCCTTGATCATTAATCATATGGGATCATGCCTCTTGGATCAACAAAGGGGTCTTCTTTTTATTATTATTACATGAGTATCTACAGGAAAGTTTAAGAATATTACGCTTCTACAAAATATTATGGTTAGTTTTTTTCTTATATCATACAGCAATCATCTCAGCAATAATTTTCCCAAATATTATACTGCGTATTTATTGGAATGCAAATACAAATCCTTCAATTCCCATAACCATACTATGCGGAATATTATCATGTAAATATATTGTGCTTAATGCACCTTTGCTTTATTGATTGTAAATAAAAAGTACATATTGGATCTTAGATCATGATACAGATTCGCTTGATACAATGATACATGATACATGATAAAGTCTTATTGCGTCTATTCTATTCACTTCCTGATACTTGTTATATTGATTGTATCAACATCCTAACCTAATAGTCCATTTCATTTGTTTGCATTTGTGATTAGTAATGAGATCCTTGAAATGGAAACTAGATATTAGTCCTGATGACAAAAAAAAGTGTTAAATCTCATATCACATAGTTCTATTCTCTTGATCGCAAAAAATCTCTAATCTGATAGTTTTAACCAAACTGTATAGCATTTTTCTGATATCATACTACGCATTTCAGGTGATCGGTCTCACATGACAGAGTTTCTATGCTACAATTGCAAATTTGAATTTATTGCTTGAAGTGAAGCAAGCAAGACAATATTCTGTTCTATACCATTCGCCATATAATCCATAATTCCCATATTTTCTATCACAAATAGGGCATGGTGAGCTTCACGACTGAGGTGATGCAAAATTATAATTACCGTATAGCGCTAACATTAGTACTGGGTACTATTCAAGCAAATCTAAGCTTAATTTTGAATAGTACCTGGGGGTATTACATTCAGAGAAAGATATTATATAAGGGGGATATTACACAACGGAAATACAATAAAAGAGGGATATTAATCATAATCGTCAACCATCTTTTTTTACTTTCAAATTTTTAAATTTTTAACATTCCTTTGAAATAAAGCCATAATATGTTATATGATATGAATGACACGAATTTTGCGAATGATGCGAATTTCGCAGATAACGCGATCAGAATTTTATTTATTTTAATTTTGGTCTTTTTTTTCGACTTTAAACCTTTTTGGGATTTCTTTTGTTATTATAATCACAACATAAATTTGCCATTTCTTTACAACTTTGTCATAAGTAATATGGGTTCACGCGCAAATAAAAATACCAACTGTGCAAGAATATCAGAAAAAGTATGAAGAGTATGGAATTTAAGAGAAAAACTTGCTATTGTTATATATCATGAAAAAGGACATAGTAAAAATGGAATAGCAGCTAAATTTAATATTGAAACCAAACAAGTTCGCGACTGGGTATCTAAAAAAGAACAATTTATGAAAGCATGACCTAGTTTAAAATGTTTAAATAAAGGTAAACCTCTAAAATATCCAGCTTTAGAGGTAGCTTTAGTTGAGTGGATAAGGGAAAGAAGAAGTAACCAGCAAGCAGTTTCTCGAAATATGATTCAAGTAAAAGCAAAAACTTTAGCATAATAACCACAATAGCAAGCATCCTATCCTAATGTACAATCTTTTGCTTTTATTAACAAATGGTTGGATGGTTTAATGAGCTGTAATAACTTAAGTAATCATTGTCGTACTATCATCGCTCAGCATTTACCAAACAATTTATATAAAAAACAACAAGAATTTTTAGCATTTATTATGTATAGGTGAATACAACATGATTATCCCTTAGCATTTATTGGTAATATGAATGAAACTCCATTGACATTTTATTTACCAAATAATACCACTATTGATAAAATGGAAGTAAAAACTATTAGTATTTGTACAACAGGTCATGAAAAAACTAATTTTACAGTAGTTTTAACTTGTATGGCAGATGGAACTAAACTTCCTCCTCTTGTAATTTTTAAACTTAAAAAAATTCCAAAAGGAAATTTTCCACAAGAAGTTATTGTTCGTGCTAATCCAACTGGATGGATGAATGAAAATGAAATGTTATATTGGATTGAAAATGTTTGGATTAAACGTGCTGAAAGACTTTCTAATCCACAATCATTATTAGTTTTAGATTCATTTTCAGCACATATTGTTAATTCTGTTAAAAGGCGTTTTGGAGAAAAAAATACTAATATTGCTATTATTCCTGAAGGATTAACATCTCAATTACAACCTTTAGATGTTTCAATCAATAAATCATTTAAATCAAAGGTAAGATTTATTAATTTTATTAAATATTTTATTTTTATTTTATTTTTGTATTTAATTTTAATTATATTTATAAATTTATTTCTTATAGATGAGAAATAAATATAATGAATGGATGTCTGAATCTTTAAAAGAATTAACCCCTGCTGGTAGAATCAAAAGACCATCTTATGAAACTGTTGTAGATTGGATTAATAGATCATGGAACGCAGTTGATATTACCGTAAAGCACTGACTAATCTACCCTGGGTTTTTTACAAATTTACCCTGGATTTGTAAACTACCCGAGTAGTTTAATCAGGGGGGTACTTTGGTATGAGGGGGTTTTTTAATCGGAAAATATATGTAGATTGTAGTGATCGTAATACCCATAAAATTCCACGTGTTTCATAACGCATTTCACTTGTATCGTATTTCACGATTTTTTTTCTTTCAAAATGGTCGTTATAGGAAACCAAAAGTCAAAACGTTCTAGAATTACTTTAAAAAAAAGAAGACAATAGTGTGTACGTGAGAAGTTAATGGTCTTACAATATTTGCATTGTTCAAATAGTATTCATGCAACAGCAAAACATTTTGGTATAGAACCAAGTCAAGTTCGGGATTGGAGGAAAAAAAAGGACCAGTTGAAATCTTCAGCATCTTACTTACTAAAGTTACATGGTGGTAGACAACCATTTTTTCCAGAATTAGAACAAGAATTAGCAGTGTTGATTACTAGTTGCCGCATACAAAGTTTACCAATTACTAGAAATATGACAACAAAAAAAGCTAAGGAACTTTCACAGACTGAGAAATTCCAAGAAATGTACCCTACAATTTCTTCATTTAAATTTTCAAGAAAGTGGTTGGATTGCTTTATGGTTCGTCATGATTTTTCAAATAGGCGAAGAACAACTGTATCTCAATATTTACCAGAGAATTTACTTAAAAAACAACAGAGTTTTTTAAGTTTTGTTCTTTATAGAAGAATACAGCATGATTATCCCCTTCAATATATTGCAAATATGGATGAAACTCCTGTTGCTTTTGATTTACCTAGTTCTTATACTTTAGAAAAGCGTAGTTCTAATACTATTAGTATTAAAACTACAGGACATAAAAGAAGTATGTTCACAGTTATGTTAGGTTGTATGGCTGATGGTTCAAAACTACCACCTGTTATTATTTTTAAATTGAAAAATAAACCTAGAGAAGAGTTTCCTGATGGTGTATTCATTAGAACTAATGAAAAAGGCTGGGTAAATGAAGAGGAAATGATTTGGTGGATTGATAATATTTGGTCCAAAAGATCTGATCAATTATTAAATCCTAGATCACTTCTTGTTTTAGATTCTTTTCATGGTCATTTAGTTAATTCTGTTAAACAAAAATTGGATGAGGTTCATACTAATATGGCAGTAATTCCTGGAGGGTTAACATCCAAATTGCAACCTCTTGATGTTGCAGTTAACAAAAGTTTTAAATCTAATGTAAGTATTAATTATTATAAGTTATTTTATTATATTTATTATAATAAAAATTAAAATTTTTTTTAATAGATCTGTGAACTTTATAATAATTGGATGACAAATGCAGTTCATAATCTAACTCCAGCTAAGCATATCAAAAAATTATCATATTCTTTGGTATCTTTATGGATAAAAATTGCATGGGAAAAGGTTAACCCAATTTTGATTTGTAAATCATTTAAATGTTGTGGGATTTAGTTAAAGCTGATGGTTCAGAAGATGATATGATCTTTGATTATGACAATCTCATAGATGAAAATCAAGAAAATGAATTATTAGATGAAATGGATGAAAATGATGATAATGAGGGAAATGATAATAATGAAAATGAATATAATAATTGGAGTAGTCTTAATTTCGTTTAATTTTGTTTAAAAATAATAAATTTAAATAAAGATGATTTTTTTGATTTGTTTTACATATATTTTTATTAAAATTTTATTAAATCCGGCTAAAAAAAAATCATCTATGTATACTACCCAGTAAAGATGGGAACTGTAAATAATATGTTGCAACTTTTAATGTTACAACTTACGTTGCAATTAGTTTTAACCTATATATGTTGCAACTTATAATGTTGCAACATATGTTGCAACTAATTTTAGCTTATGTTGCAACATTTTGTAAATTTGAAATCAATTGCTGTACCATCTTTACTACCCAGGGTTTTTACAAATTTTTAGCCCAAAACCTTGGAAGGTAGTTTACACAGGAGGGTAGATTAGTCAGTGCTTTACAGTATTTACAAATATCTGCATTAGGTTCTGCCTTGTCTTCAATATCTGATGGAAATGTATTTCAAAGATATGTTAATTACTTTCTAATTCTTCTTGATCATTTTTTTGTTGAAATTTTTTAATAACTAATCCTTTTTTAGTATCTTCAAATTGATCAATTAGTAGATCATGATATTTACCCTCAAAGACAAATCCATAAAAAACTCTTTTAAGCAATTCTTCAAGTTCATTAGAAGACATGATATTATAATTTAAAATGATCTTTAATTCCTTATTTGTTAAACTTTTATGTAGTTTTGTAGCACAATTCCTAATCTTTTCATTTTTTTTTAGAGTATCATTAAGTGTAGCATAAATTTTTGGAAAATTATTTTTATTTAAAAGATTATAATTCTAATTTGCTATAAAATTTTTAAGGTAGCGACTTATTGATATAACTGCATTTTTTAGTGAAACTCTTGAATATTTTTAGCTTTTTTGTATTTTAATTCTATAAATAAATTCACACATTTCACTTTCAATTTATTCATTAGAAGTAAGTGATTCTAATATATATGTATAACTAACATTATGATAGTTTCGTCATGAATTCATAATTTTGACCCATTTTTTGATACATCTAATTATATTTAATAATACATAATTTTATTGAATTTTTATAAGTTCTTTAGCTGTAAGTTTATAATAAAACTAAAATATAATAAGAATTAATTTTAAAAATATGAAAATAAAAAAATATTTTTTAAAACACATTATTTTGTTTTTTATTTTCCATTAGATTTAATTAAGGTTGCTTGTCTAAACTCATTTTGGATTTGGCAAAATGGTAAAACCTTTAGTTTCGCTAAATTTTTACTA